GGGGGGGGGGGGGGGGGGGCCTTGGAACACGATTCTTGTCGCTGCTGCGCAGACGGACTTTACGACAGAAAATTCCGGATGCAGTGCAGGCTAGCCTAAAAGAGTTAATGATATATTAAGAACCAGTATGCTGAAAACAGACATGCAGGGAAAATATAAGCTGATTAGATATGCGTTTTTAATCAAAACAAAAAAGGACAGTTCAATCACAGGTTGCGTTTTCAGCTCAAAGTCATGTTAACTTCGTGGACCGCATAAGCTTTAACAAGTAAGAAAAGAAACGATTCACCAAATTTGGCTTGTTATTTAGATATGAGATATTGTAAACAGCTTTAGTAACAAATAAGCTTATTAACAAAATTACTTGAGCTTACCAGGAATGTCCGCTTTGGAAACAATATCAGCAAGTGCTGCAGCTCTTGAATCCTTTTTAAAATAGTCTTGGTGAGAACATCTGTATAAAACTTCCTTGGTTGACCAAAGACTGATGATTCTTTCTATGTCTTCCTCTGTAAAGGAAACTTTATTTTTCTTACTCCCTTCGGGTATCTTTGCAGCCATCTCAAATGTCAGAGAAAGAAGAATAAAGGTACGCTCATTCATTCAAGTTGTGGCGGGAAAAAACATGAATCCTAATATGGAAACGACCTCGTACGGCAAAAGACAAAAAATACATACTTCAGAAAATGTGCATCCAAAAGACACTGTTTTATTGCTTCCTAAATAGTTAAAAAGTCTCTTTTTAACAATCAAATTCATTCAGTTTTGATCACTGTTCACAACATAGTTAATAACAAGTAGTTCCATCAGTTTTTTATCAGTTCATGGTAAATTTTCGAGCAATGCATTGTGGGACGACATAAATATCCTCCTTTGGAACAAACTCACGCGGTCCTATTCTGGTATATTTTTGAGCCTTACCAGAGACTTCTGCAGACAGACGTTGTACAGTCAGAAAGTTGCCCTTTAATTGCATTTGAGTCTTGTCTTTCTTTGCTCGTTTAACTTTTTGAGGGTACCTTTGCCACGCTTCGTTTTTGCGGGACGCCATGATGGATAAGACCGCAAAGGTTTATGGTCTATGGCGTTGCTGGGCCGTCGTTTTTTTAAATAAATCAAAAATAAATCAAACTAAGGAAAGAGGTCAAAACAATTGTCTGTAGTAGCGAACCGATTTTTTCAAAAAGGTTAGTGGGTACCGGTTTTTATTCCCCCCCCCCCCCCAAGGTTTCTTAAGAACCCGATTTTTATAAAGGGAGGGTGGTGGCGGGTACATACCCCCCCCTCCAACATCCTACATACATACACTTTTCTTGAAGCCCCACTTTTAATTGAGGGATGGTGGTGGCGGGTACTTCCCCCCCCCCCCCCCCCCCCCCCACACACACACACTCTACATACGTTCATTTCTGTTTTAGGTTTTGCTTTTTCATTCGCAGAGTTCCTTGAATCCCGCACAAGAGTCTCGATAGGCTGCTTGTGCACGTCCACTACTGTTGTCTCTTTCGTGACAGACCAGTTTTTTTTTGCTTTTGTATCTCTGCTTGTTTCACTCTAGAAGTATCAATGTGCTTCTCCTGCTCGCATCGAACCGATTTTTCAGGACAAGGAAATAAGTAACGGGATTGCCTGATTTCAGAATCGTCAGGCAATGTAGCTGTTTTAATGTGTTTTTCGAAGACTCTTTTTACTGCAGCAGATGGTAGGAAGTAGTCTTTTTCATCTTAAACGGACGAGTTCAAAGCGATATTCCGAAGTTCGTTGAGTTTTAACGGAGGTATTATTCCCTGCGTATAGCAGTTCTTATCGCCACATCTCTTTTTCACCTCATAGTATCCAGAGGGGTAATAGTATAGCATAGGATAGCATGGCATGGCATGGCATGGCATGGTATAGTATCCAGAGGGGTAAACCTCTCCATGCTGCACGTACCAACACAATTGCTTCAGAGCTGGAATGCGCATACTAAGCACTGAATCCATCTGGCGACTGTTCCAAATACTGTCTGAAGCAATTGTGTTGTAATCGTTGGTAAAATGAGACCTTTTCTAATATTGCTCGTAGTTTCTTCCCAACTTAGATTTCAACTGAGCGTGCCTTGCTATTACTTCATTTACCTTCGTTTACGTGTCCGCCTTTTCTATGAAATGTCCCTAATTGAGACCAAAAGGCAACAGCAGCCTTGCTTTGATATTCCACTCCACATCCATCCATAGATCCTCTCCTGCCTTCTTTTGTTTCTTCTTTTGCTTTTTCAATCCCTTTTTACTTTTCCGCCTTGCCATAGTTTCCTGAGACGCAAGATTCCTGGCAATCATTACAAGAGCCAAAAAACCATCTTAGTTAACCTCAGAGAAATCGAAAATTCTAATGCTAACGCAGAGCATTTTATCAAAATAATATTAAAAATATCCAACTAGTACTTGATGCATCTATATGCTCAAGATTGGCTTTTTTCTTTCGTTTTTTGTTTGCATTATTTCAGGTTAGCGCGGAGCTAACCTGATTCCTTTCAACTTCTACGCCATCTGACAGAAAATATTTAACTTTACCTTGATTCGTGGGCAGCAAACAGGTTATTGGTACACTAACGTTTGTTGATAAGTTTAGGCAAATAAACAAAAAAATTAAAAATTAAAAATCGTGTTTTTAATAAAAGGAAAGTTATAGTTACGTAGTAGTATTCTTTTTCTCTATCTCATTATCTTTTTTTTCTTTTCCCAAATACTTATTTCGATTTATATACTCGACTTAAGAGTGGTTGTCAGCAAAAATCAGACATTTTGGCAAATCCGCGGCAAGGGTCGAAAATTTGATTTTGCTAATATTTTAAACTTAGGTAGGCCTTAGTGTAAGTAAAACCACTGTGTAGTTTGTTTGGTAAAATAGCGCTTAGTTTTCGAGAAAATCGAAGAAAAGAGTTTTGGACTAAATTCGCTAATTTTCGGCCGATAATTTACATCAACTTTAACCGCTTATCGCGACCAAACAAAGCAACCTAGCACTGTAATATGACTAAATAGTAGTTAATTGGTATCTTAAGAAACAATTGGTAGAGTGTTAGTAATTTTGGTGAAATTTTTCGATTTTTACTTAATTTATTTTTGGAGCACATATAAAACTCCTCTTAAAATGGGGTTAAAAATAATCAGATTTTTTTTCATGTGCGACGAAAAATTTTTACCAAAAAGACAACCTGAATTAAAGTTGAAATAATGATTTCCACGAATCATGCAAAATTTTCTTGGGGAAATTATTTTGCGCGTTGCACCACAGCCTGTAAGTTGTAAGAAACTCACGG